AAAATTTGAGCAAAAAAAAAAAGTTTTCAAATTTAAATATTTTAGATAAATTTAAATAATCCTTAACCATTTAATTGATTTTTTTGATTTTTAAATCTATTAGTTCCGATGATAAATATAAACAAAAAATAACCTAAAAATATCTTAACTGCTCTTGTGACTTAAACAAATTTTAATAAATTCTATATTATAACTTTAAATGAAACCTATAAATTTTAGATTATTCTAAACACCCATTTCATGGTATTAAATATTTTTTTCTCAGTGCAAATAAGCGCCAGCTTGTTTACAAAAGCGCTAGCATGTCCTGCGCCCCACTTTCGCACATGTGTGTGCCTCTGCTATTTGCCTAACAAATGAAAATTTCATGTAGGTCTCTGCCTCATGGCCTGGACATCAGTTTGGCAAAGGGGAGCACACACTTATTTATTTGTTTAGGCCCAACAGTGGGCCATGATATCTGTGTGTGTGGGCCGCGTTCTATTCGCGGGAGAATGAGAGCTAGCCAACCGAAAAGGACGCGCCAACGGATATGCGTCTGCAGTCAACTACGAATGCAGGACACCCAGAGCGAACACCCAGATACACATCCTAGCTCTGCGTGAGCTGCTGCTCCATGGATACCAGTTAGCAGATACCATTTACCAGCTACCAAATACGAGACACGTTTCACTTGCCAACAGCGGAGCGTCAGGAAAAGTTGTTATTTGCCATGGCCAACCGTCCCCTATATGTTGATGCAGTGCATACAGAGAAAATAAATAGAAAAATATCAAAGCTGCGGGGATATGTTGGCTCTCTATATGCTATATAGCAGAAGATTATGCACTGGACTGAATGGGGGAACTCTATGCTGATATATGAGTTTTACTTAGTAAAAATCAACATAAAATAAAGCTATAAAACATGACAAATTTAAATAAATTCAAATGTTAAGGATTCTGAATAGTCCGAAAAAATAATTATAATAAATTCCCAATTTGTATTTAACTGGAATGCTTAATAGATTTTCTTCTTTTTTTAAGATTTCAAAAAATGGTTCAAATTTCTTATTAACATAAGATTAGAAAATTAAAAATTAACAAATTAGTAAAAATATTCTATGGGACTATACCTTTCAAGGACTAAACTCAACATTTACAAGTAAAAATATTAGAGCATCATAAGGACATTGAAATCGTTTAGCTTACTATTGACGTCAAAAAATGTAAATTGAATTTTCACGTGGAGCCAAAGAAGGGTTGGATTGGATGGTGGGGTTGGGATAATGGTCTGACCTACCCAACATCCATACCTACACTCAGGCAGACTCGTAAATTATGTAAATATATGACGGACCACATCACAGATCTAAATGATTATCATCATACAGCGGCCTTTACAACTGCCAACTCAGAAGTGTGGGCGAGTTTACAAGCGTGTATATATATAGACATATGTAGAGGGACCTGCAAATAGCCACTCGTGTGCGCTTTAATGGCAACCGGATGAAATGGTCAACACTTGACCGGGCCCTTCCCATTTTTTCCAGCATTCCTCTCCGGTTACCAAGACGATTATGGCCATGAGGGCCACTCGAGCGGAAGAGCAATAAAAAATCATTAATCCCGACGCAACACGAGTCCTCGTCGAGACGAAAGGGTTTAAAGCTTTAGCTTCCCTAACCCCCTTTTAATTACGACTCTTTTATAACCAAGTAAGTTTTGCATTAAGCACTTAAAATCTATATTAATATTTGACTGCGCAGAATGGTCGACTTACCGCCATTTTCCTGGCAGGGCGTCCCAGCATGGGCGCACACTCCAATTGTATAGTTCTTGCCATCCTTCATCAAAGTGCGAGCTGGCTTCTTGCTAAGCGAACTGAGATCCAGGCTGTGGAGAGCAGGGAGTTTAAGTATAATCATTAAAGCATTAAATAAGGTGGACCACTCACAGCTCATTGGTGGAGGTGTAAGCCGTGCAGGGTTCGAGATCATTACAAGCCAGCGGCGTGACAAAGTTGAACTGGTAGGTGCAGGAATCGGCTCCCAGGCCCGCGAACTCCGGATGGGCATTCTGAAAGGAATTTAGTTCATTTCTGGCATCATAGCAGAGTCATAAGCCTCAATCTCTCACCCTTATGAACTTGTCGCAGCTGAAGTAAATCACGCTGGTGTAATTAACGCTGGAGTTTTTGGCACAGGGCGTTGGTGACTCATGCCGCAGCAAAAGTTGCCCGTTCTCCACCACTGGTCGCGATTGCACATTGCCAAAGTTCACAAATCTGTGGGAATCCATTTGACTAATATTTTGCAAGTAGTATTAATCAAAGTAACTACCCACCGTTCTTTTGAGTCGGTGGCCTTGGGATTAAACAGGCAAATGCTGCTGCCGGGTGGACACATGCTGTTCTCACCGTAGAGCACCGGTTTACAGACATTGATGAGGAAGAAGGCATCCTGGCGATTGCTTGTTCGGTAGTTACTATCACTCAGCGGCATCAGATCAAAGGTTCCATTTGACTTTGTGTCCCGCACACTGCAACTGTTGGATTGCAGGGCATCGGGAATGGAAAGGCAGGCCAGTGGAGTCTCGTAGGAGATGTAGAAGGAACAGGCATCGTTGGCCTAGAAGAAAAATTAATTTTTAATAAATAAATTGAAATTTTAAGATTTTAAACATTTTTTAAATCCTCACGTAAGGCGTTATGTGCATTGGCTGGGCATCCATGGTATAGTCGCACTGGAGCAGCACATGCAGCTGATAGTTGGGATTGCTGGCAGTGCCATTATCACACTTTGCTCCGCTCTTATAATCCAGATACATTTTGCCATTGTTGTAGACCAACTCATGTTGGCGACCTAAAAGAATATTATATTTTAATTAGAGACATTTAAAGATTTAATTATGTTTCATATTCACCTAGTATATACTCCTTTCCCTGTTTTTTAAGGCAGGCTGCAACATTACTTTCCCCGTTGCAGGTTCTCGAGAGATTACCGCATACATTAAACTCGAATTTGTCGCCGCCATTGCTCACGCTTTCCACCACGTGAGCCAAGTCGGAGTGAAGGCCACTAAAGTCGAAGGTGCTGCCATAGATGGGCTCCTTGATTTTACATTCCTGGGTGGAAAATTTCTACGAGAAACGGGAAATTACAAATTATGAATTAATTTAAAGGGTCCATGTAAATGTTTTGAAAATGCATTACAATAATTAACTTTTATTTTATTATAATAAACTAGTTCTCTTTACCATTTTTGATTTTTTTAATTTTCTGAACATAAAGGAAATATTATTATGGTTAAATATATAAATCATATATATTTTTTAAGATTTGTTTAATTTTTAATAACTTAATATTTTGTACCAATTTTAATAAATTTGTTATCCAAAATGTTGTTACTACAAATTTGATGTTTACCTTTATTTTTTTATTTTATTTGTAAGATATTTGTGTTTTTTTTATTAATTTTTAAAGTTATTGTAACTATAAATTGAATTAATTTGTTTGCAAATATTATTACTCCAAATTTGTTGTTTACCTATTTTTTTATTTTATTTTAAAGATGTAATGTGTTTTTTGATGATTTTCAAAGTTTTTCTTTCTATAATCGTAGTATAGCTAATTGTTAAGTAGAACCTTTTAAAACAAAGAAAGTTAAGACAGATTTTTTTATTTTACTGGCATTCTGTTTTCTTTTTCTTATCGCACTTTTATGGGGCTGATTGATTTCTTAGCCATTTGAAATGTCGGGCAACAAAGACTGGAAAGCAAGTGATAAGCGAGTGGAAAACATGCAATTGGAAGGCCGAAAATGGGGTCTCTGCCAAATGGCAACAAGTGCGCAGTGAAAACAAACAAACAGCCTTGAAATTAACGCCCACCGCCCACTTACCACCCACGCACCGCCTACTTACCAGCTGATCGACTGCGTCAGCGGCGAAACTCTCACCGCAGCAAAAGAGCAGCAAAAAGAGGGAAATCCAAAATTGGCAACGCATCTGCGGGAAAACAAAATAAATTGAAAATTTTAGCTTATAATTTATTTAACAAGCTCTAAAAATATATTTCCACCCACCTGGCGAAATTTTTCCTGCGTGGGAGCTGCGCAGTCCTTTTGCAAACTGCAACGCATTTTTTATCCGCACCTGCAGGGTCTGAAATATTGGCACAAAATGACTCAAAAGCGGTTTGTTTATAACTGCTTATTACTAATTCGCCCCTTTAAGATTATCTATATTTTTTAGCGCACACAAAGCAATTTGATTTTCTTATCACAAGTTAACTGTTTATTTTGAGAGAGCCAAGTTGTTATTGCTTTGCCAATTCGGCTCTCTGCTTCGATTTTTCAACGGCACTTTTCAGGTATTTTCTTCTTCTTTCGCAGCGCACAACAAATAAACAGTTATCGGCGACGCAGTTGCACGAAGCGAATTATATGCCGGGTGGGTAAACAATGTGCATTGCTAGTAGACGTCTATAATTACACTTGATATACCTTTTTATTTATTTTACCTGGCAAAAAACAACAACACACACTGCCAATCGGAACTGTTATTTCACGTGAACAGGCGAATGGTAGCGGCCGGGAAGAAGAGGAGCTGCGCTGCGGTGTGGTAGCACTGGCCAAGCAGCTGTTGCGCTTTTGTAAGTAAGTAAATAATAATAAAAAGATCATTTATATAAAATAAAATGATTTTATTCATAAATCAAGTAATTTAATTATATTTAACTCTTAATATAACAAAAATATTAAAACCAAAATTTCAAATCATTCATATAATCCGTAAGCTTAGCTTGAGCAACTTTCACAAAGATTTGTAACAATTTATAAATGTGTTCATGTAATCTACGAGCATATTTTATAACTAAATTGGCAATAGTTACTGCAATAAATTTAAATTTAACTTTTAGCGCCCAATCTTAATTTACGTTTACAGGTGAACGTCAGCCTCTTTAGCCGGCAATGTGGTGACACTGGCTCAGCAAACAGCTGTTGCGCCGGCCAAAAACTGCATTAATCGTTATCGATATCAGGTGGTTGCAGGAGAAAACTGCATTTATTTTGTTATTTATTATATTTACTAAATTAAAGTGATCCTGCGATGGCCGCCAACATAGCCGCTGCAGCTGCGGCTGCCCAAGAAGTCGATCCGGTGCTGAAGAAGGCCATCAAGCTGCTGCATTCGAGTACGCCCACCTCGGCGGCTGAATTGCGTTTGCTTTTCGACGAGGCTCTAAAAACTCGTTTTGGGCCGGAAAAGAGTTTGTCCAACAACATGAGTCCACGGATGCTGGAGGATGAGGCCAACTTTCCGGGGCGGGCAGCCACGCCCCCGCAGCAGCCCATCAACACGGATGAGATCATCAATTTGACCAATTCACCCGATAAAGAACCCTCGGATTCGGTGGACACAATTGCGGATTCGGATGATGGTTTAAGTGCCGTGGGAATTGTGAATACCGGCGACACCGGCGACTTTGGCGACCTCAATTGCTGTGTGTGCGGCGAGATGGTCTTCACGGCCACCAACCGGCTGATCGAGTGCTCCAAGTGCGGCGCCATGTACCACCAGGAGTGTCATAAGCCACCGATCACCAAGGAGGAGGCGGCCGACGATCAGGAGCAGAATTGGCAGTGCGACACGTGCTGCAATAAGCCAACGACCAGCGGCAGAGCCACATCCTCCTCCTCGACGGCGGCGGCGCCCGTGACGCCCACCGTTTTCATAGCCGACGAACCCATGCCGCTGACCACCGGCAGCAAGGCGAAGTCCTCGGCTGCCTCGTCGCGCTCCTCCAACTCGTCCAACTCCTCGTCGCCTTTCTACCGGCCGGAGCCCAGCAGCTCCACCAATGCGAGCAGCAGTAGCAGCAGCAAGCATGGCCACAAGTCATCCTCTTCCTCCTCCTCGAAGTCGCACAAGGAGGAGCGATCATCCAAGTCATCAGCGACGGCAACTAGTGCTATTGGTGCTCTGGAGAAGCACAGCGGTAGTGGCGGCGGCACCTCCTCATCGCGACGCAGCAGCTCCAGTGCCAAATCCAGCTCCAAGAGCAGCTCCTCCAAGCACCACGAAAGTGGCAGCAGCAGCAAGAGAAGATCAAAGCAGTGAACTCCTTAGGATTAAGTACAAAGTTTAAGTCTAAATCAGATATTCTGAACATTAAATATGGTTTTGCTAGAGTTAAATATTTTTGATTTCTTTACATATACTGCTAAAATCCTCCATTTTGCATTTCTTTTATACATTTTTATAGTTTAAACAAGATAATTCAATAATTCAGCTACTGAATTATAATTAAGCAATAAGTAAATGCTTTTTATGGTTTTTTTAGAGTTAAATATGTTTGATTTCCTTACAAAAATTCTCCCTTTTGCATTTCTTTTGTACATTTTTATACCTTAAACCAGATAATTTAATAATTCAGCTACTGAATAAAACTCAAGCAGTTATAATGATCCTTTTTATAGTTTTATTAGAATTAAATATGTTTGATTTCTTTTATAAATTTGTATAACTTAAACCAGATAATTCTATAATTCAGCAACTCAAGCAGTTAATAAATTTTTGCAAATAATAGTGATTCTTTTTATGGATTTATTAGAGTTAAATATATTTGATTTTGCTTACAAAAATTCTCCATTTTGCATTTATTTTACACATTTTTATACCTTAAACAAGATAATTCAATAACTAAACTACTAAATAAAACCCAATCAATAAGTAAATCTTGGAAAATAATAATGATCCTTTTTATTCAAGTTTTTATCAATCTACAAATACAAAAAACAAGGGCTCCAGTAACCTATCGCTGGTACTTTCGCACAGTGACGGCGGGAGTGCGCGGACTGCGGCCGGAAGAGGATGAATCGCCCTCGTCCCCGTGGCCATTTACCTTGCGCAGATTAACGCGGGTCACGGGCGACCCCTCCTCCTTCAAACTGGAGGCCAGGCTGCGCGATGAGGGTGTCCTTGACTCCACCGTGGCTGCCTTATCCTTCTCCTTGTCCGCCTTCTTCTTGCGCTTGACATTCACAATCACATTGGCGTCCATGCTCACGTCCAGTTCGAAATTAAACTCGTAGGTTTTGTTGGATCGCGGTTGTGGAGTAAGATCATCGTTGACCACGGTTTTGCCACCGGGGCGACCGCGCAGCGAAATGGCTGGACTGAAATTGATCTTGGCACTGGCACTGGGCGTCTTGAGCCGCGCTGCCGTGGGAGTTTGGTGCTTCGGACTGGCTTTTGGTGTGCCTCTGGCTTTTGGAGTGGGAATGGATTTGGGCTCAGTCTTGACGCGTTTCTGGCTGGGCGGTGTGCTTTCCGCTGCTGCTGCAGCAGGAGCGGCTCTTTTTAGGGGTGAAACCTTCTTGGCTGCCGGGGAAACCTTCTTAACTGCCTTTTTACGAGGAGCTTTCTCCTCCTCTTCCTCGCTGGCCGAGATTGCCTCCTCTAGAGAAGAATCCTCTGCAGGAGATTCCAGCTTCTTTGCTTTTCTAGCTGCTGCTGCCGCCTTGCTCGTTCCCGGCGGACTATGGTTATTATTACTGCTCATCTGTTTCTTCAGCTTGAAGTCCAGATCCCCGCTGTTGGGCACTTTCAACTGTTTGAGGGCGCCGGCGAACCACTGGCGGCACTTGTCGTAGTCCGGCTCCTGGTTGTGCGTTAGTTTTGAGACATATTTCATAAAGTCCCCTAGAGGAGAGGGCACTCCTTGGGGGAAAAGCTTCTTTAGGCTATCTCCTATTCCGTCCATAAACGATTCCTTGGCCTTTTGAACCTTTAGAGGGACAGTGAGTAGCTTTTGCGTGACCCAGGGCAGCTCGACGCCCAGCCACTCAATAAGATTATAGCCGAGAATCTCGAGATCGGCCCTCCTGGTGGCCACACCCAAGTGGGCATCCCGTGAAGTGTACTCTATAGTGCCGTTGTGCATTTTCTTGGGATCCGGCTTGAAGTCACCGGTGATAAAATGCGAGGCCAGGCCGAAATCCACGAGGTAGGCTTGCGATCCACCACCTTTTCCCAATCCCAGTAGAATATTGGCCGCCTTGAGATCGGCATGAACGTAGCCAGTGGAGTGCATGTACTGATAGACGTCCAGCATCTGGATGGCCAGTCGCCAGACGGTCGCCTCGGGCAATCTATTACCATTTTCCTTGAGGAACTTGGAGATGTCGCTGCCGTAGCGCGGCATGACTATAAAACGATGCTTTTCGCCGTTGACCTCGACGGAGCCGTTGGCCAGGATGTAGGGCATTCCAAGGGATTTTAAACCATGCTTCTGCTGGAACTTTTTGATGTCATCCTGCTTGGCATTGCGCAAGTAAAAGTGCATCTCCACGAACAGAGGGCCATTGCCATGGGGCTCCTGGAAGGAGAAGTTTTAGAGGGATTCTTGAAGGGGCAGAACCTCTACTCACGCATTTCACCACCGCATCGTAGTTCTTCTCGCCCACCTTGCAGGCGGCGTAGATTTCGCCGAATCCTCCCACTCCAATCGACGGTCCAATGCGCCACTGGCCCTTCGCCAAATCCGTGAAGATCGTGCCCTCTTTTACCTTCTCCGGCATCGCGTACAGCTTGCTCTTGGCCTTCTTCGCCGGCACCGCCTTCTTGGCCGGCGCAGCTGCTTTCGGCTTGGCTACACGCGGCATTTTTGTGCCAGTATCTGGGTTAAATTGCGGCTAGGAATAAAATTCGCAAATTCCGCTCGAAATGCCGGGCCGACAGAGGGTTGCCATTCGGCGCGATGAAGAGCGTCCTGCAGGGTTGCCAGCTATTAGAGGGGATACAGTGTCAAGTGGGAATAAGCTATATATAAGCTATAAAAAAAACAGGGACCATAAATAACAGTTATTTGAGATATTTATTTTAAAAAGACTATTGTGATATTTTGTTTTAAACGACAAAAATAACGTTTTTTACTCTTGTCCACAAAGTGTATGCATGTCAACAAATCTGGAAAGCAAATTACCTGTTATTTGTTCATGTCTATAAAGTGCATAAAAACCAGTTAAATTCTTAATTAAAAATTTTAATCTAAAATCTAATCTAAAAAATCTCAAATAACTAATATTTACGGTCCCTGAAAAAAATTCATTACTCGGTATTAAAAGGGACAGGTTTCTATTTAAATCAAAGTCACATCTGAAGAATTATAAAACGATTTTATTCCATATTTGTTTCCAAAAAGAGGTTTTTTAGAACTCTTGATTTTGAAAAACGCACAGACAGTTGGTTGAGGTACGCGATATCTAGCAGCGCCGACAACCCAGGGTTGCCCCCAATACTCCAAAATGCGTCGATGTAATAAACGGTCACACCGCGACGCTGACGGCGTCTTTTTACGAAAAATTTCAAGTGGCGAGGGTCGAAGAAGAAACAATTCCGCGAAACTATCCACACGCTCCGGTTCCGTGTTGCAATCAAACAATCATTCCCATCGCCGCAGTAGCAATCGCAGTGCCCCGAGCATTTCGCAAGCGCAGTTAGCACAAAGAAGCAGCAGCAAAAAATCGATTGAGCAGAAATGGTAATTTTCGGCGAATTTTAAGCGGCAGCGCGCAGCTCGCTTTTAGCAATGCGCGTGCCCCCCCGCGAATTAAATATTGATGCCGAAATGGTGGCGCTGCACTTGGCACTTAAATTCCACGTATCGCCGAAGAGTCAAAAAAAAAACCGCGGGATTTGTTATTGTGCTGCTGTGGGGGCGATCGGCCGTAACCTCACTAATTGCAGCGGTGCCACCATTTTGTGTTTTCCACAGCTTGTGTTTTTAGTTATTCCGTGGTTAAAATGTAATATTTGTGTGTTTATCCACAGGCTGGCGGCAAAGCAGGCAAAGATTCAGGAAAGGCCAAGGCGAAGGCGGTATCGCGATCGGCGCGCGCGGGTCTCCAGGTGAGTTTCCCATCGTCTGTACCTCCGCTTTTGGCGCCTTTTTTGGGTTCTCACCTCGCCAGCGAGCATATTCCACCACATATTTATAAACAGGGTGACTTTCTGGCGCGGGGAGTTGGGGGTATAAAAACATAAACAACCCGGCTAACTAATGCACTTTCTACACCCGCACACACAGTTCCCCGTTGGACGCATCCATCGTCATCTCAAGAGCCGCACCACATCCCACGGACGCGTCGGAGCCACCGCAGCCGTCTACTCCGCTGCCATATTGGAATACCTGACCGCCGAGGTGAGTGCCCCCGCCGCTAGAGTTTTCCCGCTTTTCCCTGATCGAGCGGTAAAAGAGCCGCTACAACGGGAAACCGAAGTTTCCTATTGCCACTTTTAGGGGAAGAAGGGTGATGAAAATGCACAGCTTTATTTGAAATATTCTGCTTGTGTACAGTTATTCTCTTTTCGAAGTCCAACTGGAATTGTTTGTTTATTATTGTGTGTTTTCCCGCCTTAATCGAGTGTTTGTTGTAACGGCATTTTTTCCGTTTCCTATTGTCATTTTTAGAAGGAGAATTAATGATATTTTTAATATTTTATTTTATTAAGTACAGTTATTCTACATTGAATGTCTTTAATTGTTTGTACAAATGATTTTTAGAATATTTTAATTTTCTTTCTTTCTTCTTTGCCTCCTTCTCCTTATATCTTTATTTCTCCCGTTCCAATAAATAATCAAATTTTCCTATTGCCATTTTTAAAGAGAATTAATAAAGAAAGCGAATTAGCCAGTTTAATATCAAATATTTAAGAGATATTTATGGTTAAAATCTAATACAATTGTTTTCTGTGTAACTGTACTGTTTAAATGTTCTAAATAATTTTCATTCTTAAAAAATGTTGATTTTTAACATTTTGTTGCCTTTATTTTGTTAGTTGTTGAGGCTATAACTGAAATCTAAAATTTCCTATTGCAATTTTATAGGTCAGAGAATTATTCAAAATTATTATATTCTTTTTAGCTTCATCCATTTTATGTCCAATCTGGAATAACCATAGTTTCCTATTGATATTTCAATTACTAACAGGTACTTCGAGTTTTCCTAGTTTTTTTTGTTCTATTGAGAGTACACAAAATAACACATTAATTTGCCTAATATTTAATTCAAAAGTATTTTTATTAAACACATAAAATTCCTATTACTTTTATAATCTCTCGATGTCTTATTAATCTAACTTACTGTGCCCATTTCAGGTCCTGGAGTTGGCAGGCAACGCCTCGAAGGATCTGAAGGTGAAACGTATCACGCCGCGCCACTTACAGCTCGCCATTCGCGGAGACGAGGAGCTGGACAGCCTGATCAAGGCAACCATTGCCGGCGGCGGTGTCATTCCGCACATACACAAGTCGCTGATCGGCAAGAAGGAGGACACGGTGCAGGATCCGCAGCGGAAGGGCAACGTCATCCTGTCGCAGGCCTACTAAACTACCAGCTAAAAAAGCATTCGGACGCCTTCGAAACATGCGACACTAATGTTTAATTCAGATTTCAGCAGAGACAAGCTAACAAACCGACGAGTTGTAATCATTTCTGTGCCCCACAGCACATACTTCTTATATATACAACGTAATACATAACTATGTAATTCTAGCATCTCCCAACACTCACAAGCAAGCATACAACATACAAAACAAAACGAAAAAAACACACAAAACGTATTCACCCGCACGCATTGTTGTTGGCGAGGTTGAGTATGAAAGAAAAACAAAAAACTTAATTTAGAGCAAAGTAATTACACGAATAAATTTAATAAAAATTATAATAAAAACGCCAATCCTGTTATATTTCCAAAACTCTGACGACATGTGTCTACGAATGTGTGGCAATGAATGTAAAGTATTGAAACTAGATGGTAATTTATTCCAGTTGTAAAAAGAACACGATTTTTAATGTGAAAAGTACAGTCGAATTCCAGTGACGCGAAGAAAATTCAGTTTTTAATTACGCATTTATCTCGAAAACAAAACGAAATATATTTGTAAACCCCAATAAAAATATAAATGCCCAAAGAAAATTGAGACAAATTACTAAACATGCAAATTTTTATAGAATTTATGATTTATTTAATTAAACACCGAGAGCACTTGCTAAAGTAGACATTTTTGAATTAAGGAGGCAAGTGTAAAGTAACTAAAAGACTAGCGGGTTTTTTCAGTTTTTAATTAACGCATTTATCTCGAATAAATATAAAGTAGCGGGCTTTTTCAGTTTTTAATTAATGCATTTATCTCTATAGAAATATAAATGCCCAAAGAAAAACGAGACAAATAACTGAACATCCAAATTTTGAAAGATTTTATTATTTATTTTATTAAACACCGACCAAAACTTGCTAAAGTAGACATTTTTGGATTAAGGAGGCAAGAGTAAAGTAACTCCGCGAGTAGCGGGCTTTCGGTTTAGCCCAGAAGATGCGGCTGAGCCTGCTGGACGTCGTCGCAGCGCTCCTTGAGATCCTCGGGATCCAGCTCCAGGCAGGCGCCCCACTCGATCAGAGTGATGCGATGGTCGTTGTTGGAGTCGCAGGACTCGAGGAATGGTGCAATGCAGTGCTCCAGGCTGACCAGAGGAGCACGGATGGGGAAGAGTTCGTGCCGGGAGACTGAGCGATCGGTGTCGCCGTCCAGATCGCACCATTTCCACACGGCAGCATTGGACCAGCGACGCGAATTGTTGGTCTCCGCCTCCAGCTCCATCTGCATGTAGTGCTCGGTCAGCTCGTCGCGCTCAGCAAGATCGCGCATCACGTTGAACAGCCAGTCGCGCATGCGCCTGGGGAAGTCCTTGAGGTCCTCGCCCTCGCAGGTCCTTGGCTCGTGGCAGGCTCCGTAGTAATCGATGTGCATGTGGGCATTGTCCGCATTCTTGCAGCCCGGTTCTCCACTGTCGCACCAGCAGCGCTGCTGATAGACGGAGCAATCCGAGGGCCAGGTTTCGTTGGTATTCGTGCACACCAGGCGGCGGGTGTCCAGCTCCTCCGGGCACTCGGGGATGCACACGCACTGGGGCTTCTCGTCGTGCATCTGGCAGATGCGACCGGCGCCGCAGCGAATGCGCTCGCACAGATCCTCCTCCACGACCGGATTGAGCAGATTGTGCTGCACCTCGGCCAGTTTGGTGGCTATCTCGTTCTCACGCTCCACATCCTTGATCTGCCAATGGGATTTAGTAGTTAAAATATATAGTATGTATTAGATAAAATATAGTAACCCACCTGGTTCTTCTCCTCCAGCAGGCGGAGGAACTCCTCCTCGCCCTCGTCGATGTCGGTCAGGTCGATATCTTCCAATAGGGAATCATCAATTTCCGAGGAGGCTTGAACCTGGTTAAAGGCCAGCAGCCCCAAGCAGAGCAGCAGCCAAAGGAAGCGCATCTTGCTGGCTATTTAAATGCAGATGTTTAAGATTTATAGTATTCGATCTAATCTATTTTTTACTAATTTTAATAGAACTCAAAAATGTATCCTAAAATTCTTTAAAAAAAATTTTTTTTTATTAATATCCAGTTAATAAAGGACAAATTAATAGGTATCCTAAAATTCATCAAAAAAGTGTATTTTTTTAATATCCAATTGATAATAAACAAGAGAAAACGCTATAGTCGGGTGCCCCGACTATCAGATACCCGTTACTCAGCTAAAGGGAGTGCGAAAGAGATGGAGAAAAACTTTGATCCGCCGTAACTTTTTAACGAATGGTCCGATTTAAAAAATTTCTTCTACATTTCGATAGGTATTGATAAACACAATAAAACTGCATTTGTACTTTTCCAAAATATTAAACTTTTTAAAATCGTATATAAGCGATTGTGGGCGTTAGAGGGGGCGTGGCACCCTTTTGAAACAAACTTGCGCTGCGTAGGAACTCCTAGAATCTGCATGCAAAATGTCAATCCTCTAGCTTTTATAGTTTCCGAGATCTCAGCGTTCATACAGACAGACAGACGGACAGACAGACGGACAGACGGACAGACGGACAGACGGACAGACGGACAGACGGACATGGCTAGATCGACTCGGCTAGTGATCCTGATCAAGAATATATATAGTTTATAGGGTCGGAAACGCTTCCTTCTACCTGTTACATACTTTTGCACGAATCTAATATACCCTTTTACTCTACGAGTAACGGGTATAAAAACAGTTAGGTATGTGTCCTAAAATTCTTTAAAAAATATGTTTATTTTTTTGAATATCCAGTTAATAAAAAATATAAGTGTATTATAGCTAGGATTATTATTTAAATTAAAATGATTTTTTAATTTCGCAATAAATTATTTAATTTAATATTTTCTTTGGTATAGTTTTTAACCGAATCACCACCTTTAAAATATTTACTAGAGCTTCAAATATTTTTAGACAATCAACAAAAGTCAATTTAAAAATAAAATAGGTCATCAAATAATGTTCAGGTGTAAAACCCAATTCTCTTCGAGATTAGCTTTGGCCTTGATGAAACTTCCGTTTTATGGCAACCCATGTAATATGAATTTCTGAGTTAAACCGACTACGTTACTGTACCCCACAGGAAATTTAACGGTCGCTCAGTCTTGTAACTCACCCCTTATAGGGTGGTTTTTACATCCCGATAAAGGCGGCGTCTTTTCCTCATTGAAAACAATTGAAGAAGCCGCAGAAAAATCTTGCTGCAGGGTTCAAAAGGTCAACGCGAATATAGCGCGCAGATACAGATGCAGAAATTCTCCTTTTATGAGGAAGTTAATTTATGGATCTGTGCCAAACGCATCGAAAACAATGCCAACTCTTTGTTGTTTGGGAATGGAGTGTACGGAATAGATGGAAGATGCTTATTACAGATCTAGAGTTTTTAAAATAGAAAGAAAGGGGCCAGGTATGAGATGAAATCTCAGAATTTTAAATATTTGCTTTTCATTTCCTTTAGTTTTCTGGGTATTGCAACCTCAAAAAATTATGTTTCTTTCTTTTTTGCAAAAGTTTGAGGCATGTTGAACACATGTTGGCTAGTTCAAAGCTTTTCAAAATTCGTTTATGAAATCATCGCATCAAAAATGTATATGGTATGTGTACTATATGTAAATATCCCTGATTAAAGCTGACCTTATACAGTCTAATTTCAAACCCAATTTCCATAGTCTCTGCTCCTTAATCAGTTGAAGACGTCGCCCTAGTTCTATGCTTTCAGCTTAGTACATGTGCTACAATAAGTATGTACATATATATGGTACATTAATTGCCCAACGACACATTTGGCTTATCGCAGGCCCGACTTGGCCTCCTCACCGCCTCTTATCAGGATCGGTCGCTTCCGTTTTGGGGACCAAGATGTGCTTAATCGTCGCTTTTGTGTGTTGCAAAATATCAAGTAAAATGCGCAGCAATGTATCTGGCAATTGAGAAATGTATACGAGAGATCTCGGGTACTGGGAACTTCCAGGAATATCCGAGTTGGATGCTGCATTCCAGATGTATATATACTGCACTGTATATGCACCGATGAGTGGGCCGCCTGCAGTTTAATTATACCGACAAAACTAGAAACAATGACGTGATCCAAGATGCAATGTTTATGTTGGAGGGGCCAATGAATCGTGAACGGAATGAGGCCTGCCGTAAAAACAATTTAGTTGAATTTGCGGAACTGCAATTCGCTAACGAGAGCGATGATGACACTTCTTAGTTGACCTTGCGAATCAATTAACTAACTTTGTCCCTAGTAAATTGGTTAGAAACCCTCGCAATTGGCAAATTTAATCGAAAATTGAGTCCAATTGATGAATAATCATAATCAATATCGAAGAACATTGAACTTGAAGAAATCGAGCCCAAGCTGAGCTTGCAGTAATTCGAGAAACAACCAAAGTATCTGTTCTTTTTTAGTCCGACTTCCACACTCAATCCCAATCCCTTGGTTCACTGGTCAATACTCACTGTATTATTATTAAAATAGGAGTTTCCTTTCAAATGTCTAAGCGTGTTGGCGGATGGCAAGTGACTGTTTGCCTTTGGAAAAGCTTCCGAATGATTACGGATCGCTGCTAAACTGGAGCATTACCCATGTTTTGGGGTCGCCTCCAACATGTTGGCTCCCAACATGTTCGCTTGGAATGAAAACACAGATTGCTTCGATTTCAGTAGTTTTATTTTATTTATTAATTTTGAAATAATTATAAACAAATTATAGGTACTCGTAAACTTACCTTAGTTCACAGCCAATTCCGGTCTTCTATACAAGGCCTTTCCAGCGGAGCTCAGGTTTTTTTGGAAAAGAAATATGTTGTTTGCTTTAGAAAAGCTAAATAAACTTGGTAACATGCTACATATAAAGCAGGAACTTAAGCGCACTTATAGAAACTCTAGTGTATCCTAGGATGAGAACCGAAATACACCGGGATCTCCGTCACTAACTTACCTTACGAAATATATAGGGCTTGTCTCAAGCGTTTAACGTAGAGTATGTTTAAAATTAGATCGAAAGAGTGTTTGTACCTAGAATTGCATAAAGTTAACTAGATCTTGAGGTAAATAGTTTAGTTTATCGCTACTTAGACTGCGCCCAAGGTGGAGAAGTAGAGACTTACATATCGGCAGCTAAAACAAATACATAGTGTTGTTTTTATATTTTATTTATTTAAAATAAATATGGATTTTTCATATAGTTCGGTTAAGTGATTAGAGTGTTGTATCTCGTAAATGTAGCGTAGAGGAGAGCTCTAAATGAAGCTGGCAAATGGTGGACTGAGCCTCCCCTTCTATCATATCAATACATAATTAATTGCATTTAATTCATAGATCAATTCAAAGCCTTTGGCGTGCGCTACAGCTTATAGATAGGAAAGAGAGAGGCGAATGAGTCGTACATCTAGATAATCTGAAGATATAAACTTAACTTAGAGTTCGTGTCATGGCTCGAAAACAAATACATAGTTTCTTAGCAATCTTTTGCAGTGTATTTATACTTTCTCAAGTTTGTCAAATACATATAAGGGAAAATAAAAAAAAAAAGAATTAATAGATATTGTGGGAGGCTAGAGTAGAAACCTTTAACATCGTTACAGTATCGCTCCTTATAAAAATTGACAATAGTTTTGATATCAACTCTTGTGTACATCGATAGTTAAGGCCACGCACCCGTGCCACGCCCGCCAGCTCAGCGTTTGATTTGATTTCATATGATTTCGCATTTTCTTTTTGGACGTATATCTTATTTGAATGGTTTTAGGTAATACATAGGTATCTACGATTAAGCTATTCGTTTTTGGGCCAATAAGCTCAGGCTACGGCTGCGTAATTTGTATCTAATTATTAATTGATTTATTGCTTGCACTTGTCCTTCCACCTTCGTTTCAAATTCAAACCAACGCGCGTCGCACGGTCGCTTGCATCGTTTTACAGATAAGAGAGATAGTTAGTTGGATTCGAATAGAGAGCTTTATGTGTCATATCGCATCGTATCGCATCTACGATTCCGGCCGGGGTTACAAAAATATGTCTAAAGTATATCAGAAGCGGGGTGAAGAGCTCGCTCCACCCCAAATACGGTGTAGAAAATATTTATACATAGTCTGTGGCATAGCTTAGATCGATCGTAGATTTATCAATGGTATAGCTTAAGTGTAGAGTAAAACCGTAGTTAGTTGTCCTATTTTGATAGAGAGAGACAATGCGTTAAGTTTCCTGTTAGTAACTCTAGCTTATCAACGAGCTTAACAGTATCTTGATACTTGAGCTTTTGCTTTAGCCCAAAGAGCATCTAAATCAAAGAAAATTTTACACATTAGTAATCATACATTAATCAAAAAGTAAAGTATGGGGTGGCAAGACGTATTGGGGGTTTAACTCTTATGCATAGGCCACATTTAAAACGAACGACTAATGGCGGGGACGGTTTGCGATCATCATCTACTCACCCCCTTTTAGCGGCGATACTTGCTGTTGGCACTGCCGCCGGTGGCCACCGAGCCGTTGGACACGCCCACCGCCTTGGCGCCAGTGGGAGGCGGTACGCTTCCATTGGGCGGCGGTGCATTGTACGGCGGATATGCTGGCGGTTGGGGATTATCTGCAAAACAATCGTTGTTAGTTAATATAGACTACTAATAATCGATTCCACCTACGGTAATTGTTGGGCGGCGCTGCCGCGTAGGGATTCATGCGATTCGCATTCATGCTATTGTGCTTGGCCGGTCCTCCGCCGTAGTTTTGCTGATAGCCGCTGCCGAAATTGGGTGGCGGTGGCTGCTGCTGCGGAGGCGGTCCCTGTGGCGGCGGAGCTCCCGGCACGGGTGGCGGTGCATTGGGCGGCATATTCCAGTTGCCAGGAGCCGGCGGTGGCGGTCCGTTGTGGCCCATGGGCGGTGGCACTGCCCCGGCCGGCGGCACCTGTTGCACGGGCGGCGGACAGCCCCACTGGCCGGGATGCCATTGCTGGGCTCCGGGTGGCGGCGGCGGTGGTGCATTCCAGCCATTTTGTACCGGCGGATAGGGACCCCAGGCGTTCATCTGGGGAGGCGGCGGCTGTGGGTAGTAGGACTGCATGGGCGGCGGCGGAGGTCCCCAGTAGTTGTAGTTGGGCGGCGGGGCGTTCATCGGGGGCGGCGGTGGCTGCTGCTGGTGGTAGGGAGGCATCACCTGGGGCGGCGGAACAGGTGGACGATAGCCTGGCACCGGCATGTTGCCATTATGCGGCTGCTGTTGCTGCTGCGGCGGAGGTGGTTGTTGCTGCTGATGCTGTTGTGGTTGCTGCTGATTCATCGGCGGCTTGTTGCCGTTCGCCAAGGAACCCGGCTGCTGTTTGTCCTTCTTCTCCAGGTTGTAAATGGACTTTTTGACGTCCACGTGCACGTACTTAATAGAATGCTGCTTTTGAACTGCAGACAGAAAAAAAAATGGTAATGGTCAATTTGATATTTTTTAAAAATCAAGTTATTCATATCATTTTGATATGAATAAAGATTATTGTAATCTTTTTTTAGATTATTTTCTCAAAAAATACTACATTTGATATTTTAATGATATGATAAAATATCATTTTGATGTTTGAATCTTAAATAAAGATTATTTCAGGGACCGTAATCATTATAAGTTAAATAATAAAAATTACTTTGTAATGATTAAAATTCAATTTTTATATTTTACTTAGAGCATAATAATTATTTTTGATCAAAAAAAATAGGACTCAAAAATAATTTTTATTGATGATTTTTATTTTTTTTGCTCAAAATAAAACTCAAAACAGCCTCGCGGGCCTCCTGTAAGACTTTTCTCCAATCTGATTTCACAGCCGTTTAAGAGGCTATTAAAACTACCTCCACGATTTTTTGCAAATTTTTTTAACCACTTTTAAAAAAATGGCTTATCCCATGATTTGTATTTTATTCCAATCAAAATAAAACTCATAACAGCCTCGCGGACCTCCTCCACTATATATTGCCTTCGCCAAACTCGAGCTCAGGGTCTTTGCTGGATGATTACTTGCAAGCAATTGAGGTAGCTTCGGATGAAGAGACTGAAGACGCAGAGCCAACGGACCAAATAAGGAAGGCATATGCCGAAATTGAGAACTATTGTCCAAAACCCATTAGCCTGACCTGCGACATAATGGAATATTGGGAGGAGAAACGCTTTGTATTCCCCTTTTTGTATCAACTGGCCAAGGTCGTAAATTTAGTTCCCGCTACGCAAGTGAGCGTGGAAAGATCTTTTTCGGCCCTCAAAATGGTACTGACCGATCAAAGGTGTAACCTTGCTAATGAGGCTTTATCAAAATTATTATTCGTAAAATTAAATAATAAATAAATATGTTTGTAAAAAAATAGTGGAGGAGGTCCGCGAGGCTGTTATGAGTTTTATTTTGATTGGAATAAAATACAAATCATGGGATAGGCCATTTTTTTTAAAGTGGTTAAAAAAATTTGCAAAAAATCGTGGGGGTAGTTTTAATAACCTTTTGAACGGCTGTGAAATCAGATCGGCGAAAAGTCTTACAGGAGGACCGCGAGGCTGTTATGAGTTTTATTTTGATCGGAATAAAATAAAAATCATAGGATAAGTTATTTTTACAAAGTGGTTAAAAAAATTTGCAAAAAATCGTGGAGGTTGCTTTGATAAGCCTTTAGACGGCTGTGAAATCAGATTGGCGAAAAGTCTTACAGGAAGCACGCGAGGCTGTTTTGAGTTTTATTTTGAGCAAAAAAAATAAAAATCATCAATAAAAATTATTTTTGAGTCCTATTTTTTTTGATCAAAAATAAAGATTACCATTGAACAAAAAGATAAAAATCAAAAATTTAAAAATCATGGCGGGAATGCATAGATTGGACAAAGATAATTATTTGGGTGAAAATCATTTTTTTTAGGCCTATTATAAGTGGCCGATTTTTTTGTTTGAAAAAATAAAAATAATAATTATTTTCGGTCCCTGGATTATTTTAATCATTTTTTATATTATTTGCTCAAAAAAGACTAAATGTGGTATTTTTTATGATATGATAAAATATTATTTCGATATGTTTGAATCTTAAAGTTTTATTAATATGAAATATGGTTGAAATAACCCTATTTCATATCGGTTTTTTTTTTCTGTGCAATAATAAGGAAATTAAATAGGGAAAGGCAATTTTTGAAGCTATCAACTTACGAATGGCCTTGTCCACGGCATCGTAGTCATCAAACTCGATGAAGGCAAAACCGCGCCGCTTGCCGGTGGTCTTGTCAGTGAGTAATTTAACGGAGATCACGCGTCCAAACTGGACAAAGTACTCCCGCAGGCAATCCTCATCGTGGTTGTCCTTCAAACCGCCAACAAAGAGCTTTTTCACGGATATATTGGTCTCGCGGGTTTCGCGTTCAGGTCGGGGCAGAGCTCTCTTGGCCTCCACAGTTCTAGGAGGGGCAGATATTAGATTTGGATAGGATACCAGACAATCCCCCTACTCACTTGCCGTCAATGACATGCGGCCGGTTCTCCTGGGCCCTGTCCACCATGATGGACTTTGTGTAGGTGATGAACCCAAAGCCCCGTGACCTTTTGGTGGCCGCATCGCGCATCACGACGACATCGACCACCTTGCCCCACTGGCCGTAGAAGACCTTCAGGCCCTCCTCGGTGGTGTAGGGGGCCAGTCCGCCGATGAACAGCTTACGCAAGTGCTCCAGCTCACATATGTCCTGTGTGGGGTGGCAAAGTGGGTGGTGTGGGTGTTGTGTACACAGGAGCTACACGCATCTACAAATGCGTCACTCGCCGACTCACACACACATATGCATGTGCACGGAAATTTACATACATATATGTGATTCGATTCCTCGGCTCCTACTTACATCATCCTCCCGATCCGGTATCACAATCACATCGCTGCTCTCCTCCGGCGGAACCTCCTCAACCTTCAACTGCAAGCCGGCCATCGTTTGAATCGCGTTCCAACCAAATTAACAAAATGAAAACCAAATTGCAGGTTGAAAGGCGAAGCGAAGAAGAAAAATTGTGATGGGCAAACGGGTGAATTATAAGTAATCGATTGACCTATCGAATGAAAGTGCTATAGGTAATCGATTGGGGTATTCATGTAATGTAATTACAATTTGAATTTTTATTTTATGGAAAATCAGCCAAATTATCTGCACACAATGACATAATTATGTTGATTTTATTTTCACAAAATTTAATTTTTAGTTTTGTTTAACATTAAGAAAAAGATTTTACTTATAAATTATTTCAAAACATATTTTCTTTATGACCAGGGACCGTAAATAACGTTACAATCACACGCTGGTTTCCTCCGGCGGAAAATTGGAACAAAATTGAAACAACTTTTTCTGAAATTTCTTGTTCCCCATTCTTATTTTTATTTTATTGAAAATTTTTTATAAATAATAGTACTTGGGACGGATCATCATTTCCACAAAGGCAAGTGAGTTGTAGTAGTTGTGCCATGGCGTCCAATGTATACCCCTATTGTGTTGGCGATTGTGACTTTTAATGTATTTTCCATTAAGTGAACTGAAATTGAAATGTATGAAGTAACTATTTTCAAATAGTTTTAAAGAAATAATTACCTTTCTAAACAATCGTCAAACCACCAACCGCCACTGTTGTATGAAGCGCAATTTATAACCGAGTTGTCATTATCCCTTTCAGCTGTGGAGAACTTTTTATTTACATGGCTACTTAGAGCATCTCCAGCGTTTCCATAATATGACCCCACGGATTTAAGTACATATAACTCTTCTTCGCTGCCTACTTCAAAATTATCGAATGTAGCGTATCTAGAATTTCCCTGGAAATCAACAAGCTTAACGTAGAGTTCCTGTGGTTTCTTAGTTAGTTGATGCAGTTTCTCCAGTCCTAAGAAAAATTCTCCTTTTAAATTGCCAAATCCATTCTTATAATCCTGCCAAGTTCGATTAAAGTCCACAGATCCGTCCTGACGCCTTTGTATGATCATCCAGCCATCTCTATTGCAGGGGACCTCGAATAAATCCATTCCAGTCCTATTTATTTTGTAAATTCCTTCTTCTCTGCCAGAGGGACATCTTTTGGCACCGCTTACACGAGTTATATTTACGACCGAAATCGAAAGGACAACCACTAAGAGTCCAGATTTCAACATTTCGAATACTTCGGCGATTTAGTTAACAATCTATATTTATACTTGAAAGAGCGAACTGTAGATTTGGCGAAAATAAAATAGACTGATTTGGTGCAGGGCGACGGCTCCCTTTTTATATTCGGCAATCTCGAAGACGGGGAGTGATTATACTCAAGCCACAAGCTTAGCTCTTCCCCTAGATAAGGTCCCTTACTCTATGCACTCATAAAAATTAATTTCTAAATTTTGGAAATCTCGCCATTGAATCGGCCTACCTTTGAAAATAGAAAAAAAATTTCTTGTTATTAGACAATTTTCCTTTGAATACAGAAAACCTTTCTTGATGGAAAAAATTCAAGAAAGAATTTTTCTTAAAAATAGAAAAATGAAAATCTCATATGTTTGTTTTGCCATCGCAGCCAAAACATTTTTGTACGTATTTAAGGACAAAATCACCTTTGAATATATGAATGAAATGACCCTAGAATATAGGAAAGTAGCCATTGACTTCCTTCGGCTGCCGAATGTTAACGACAAGAAAAACGAAGTGGGACGAAGGGCCTACCCGGCTACCGACTTCTCTGATCCCCCGAGCGTCAGTTGTGAAAAAAAATCGTGAGTGATGGACGTGATTTTCAAGCAGATAAGAGGTGAAGCCTTTTTCCGAATATTCAAAGGTATGTAAATATGTATATAATTTTTTGTATAGCGGGCGTACAATTGTATGTATGTAATTAAAGGATACATTTCAAATCTCTTTACCAAGCGTATACCAATTTAGGTGAATTGTTTTTTAGCTAAGAGCTACGTACATACATACATTTGTACATAAATTTGTGGGTGTACAGTTCTATAATAACTTTATCTTATTACTCGCATTTTATTTATTTTTCAGAGTGAAAATACCTGCAGTTGCATCAGCCAAATAATTTGTTTGTCGAAGCTGTAATTTTGTTTTAAAACCTTCTAAGGTAAGAAAAATATGTTGTATTTGTTTGACATACTTATGTATGCATGTAAATATCTATGCATGTACGCGGCTCACCCGATCTGAAACCCGATTTTCAACCCTTTCATATTCTGCTCCTCTCTCTCTCTCGCTTGACCTACGCGTCGCGACGTTTCTCTCTTCACCTTCTTAAAACTGACACGATCTGCCCTGCTTACATTCGGTCTCCCTTCGCGCAAAGGACTGTATGTAAATATATATGTATGTATGTACGTGTCTCTCCCGTGCCTCTCTCTCTCTGAAATTCGATTTTCAACCCTTAATTTTCTACCTGTCTTGCTCCTCTCTCTCGGTCGTCTGTCCAACGTGTTTGTATTTTGGCTATTATTAACATTACATTATTTCAAAAAAGTTGTTTATCTAAAAACAAATCATTGATATCCCAATAACTCTTTTTTTATAGATGAGGAAAGGCGAAGAAAATGGATCACCTTAGGTCATATGAAGTTCAACAGACCTTGGGTAATAATAATGTTTTCTTGAGTCAAAAATGTGTTATTTAAAAATGTTTAAATGTTAAGTGTTAAATGTTTTAAATGTAAATAAATATAATATGCAAAAGAAAAAACCAAGTTACATTTTATTTTTAGGGTTTCAGTGTTAATATAAAACTTCCTTTCAAGAAATATTATTTCTTAAATCAAGAAATAAAATTTCTTGAAAGGAAATTTAAACAAGAAAGAATTTTTCTTGTTTAAAAGGTGCCTTTCTAAATAACCCTTTCTTGTTTTAAGAAATTTAATTTCTTGAAACAAGAAACAAACCACCTTTGAAACAAGAATCGCCTTTCTTGTTTTAAGAAATATTTTTTCTTGTTTTTATGGTGGCTTTCTAAAAAACCCTTTCTTGTTTTAAGAAATTTAATTTCTTAAAACAAGAAATATTTTTTCTTGTTTTAATGGTGCCTTTCAAAAAAACCATTTCTTGAAACAAAGGTGAGGTCGCCTTTGGCAAAAATTCAAGAAAGAATTTTCTAGATTTTAAGGAAATTCTTCGATTTTTTTTTATGAGTGTGGGTCAAGATCGCAATAAAAAAGATTGATTTTTTGAAACGCGACAGCCGGCTCATTATCTGAAATTGTACACTGTGTGTCTTTTTTTAAAACACGCATGTCAAGTAAATGGTATTATCATATAAATTTACCTAAATAGTAGTAGTAGTATTTTAAATTTTTAGAATTTACCAGCATGCAAATAAAAATCGATACATCGATGGCAATCATCGTTTGGCTCACCTAGCAAAAACTGTCAAAGTCAAATGTGCTTACTACTTTTTTACAGCAAACAAATACAAAAATTTTTACCTATAGAATTAATTATAGAAAAACATCCTTCAGTTAGGATGGCTGAATCTGAATCCCCGCCGCACGTGGAACGCAGGATGTGCGGCATGGGAAATCATAGACTGAAGACCCCGTACCGAACGATAAGAAATCGGAACCTGCTAAAGTTTGGCCGACTCATAAACTCCGAGCTCCAGGTGCAACCATTGTGCCTGTCCTGCTACAATGACCTACGAAAGCTCTACATCCGGAAAATGGCCAATGCGAAGAGACATCAGGAGGAGAGGAGACAGGCTGGGGAGGCGAGTATTTCGACAGTGAGTGGCAGTGAGTCGAGTGAGGCGACCCTTGGGGTTACTACCTCGGTCTCGGAGGTCGAAGGACCCTCTGCGAGCATCTCTTCAGATGACGAAAGACCCACCACCAGCGCCGCAGCGGCTGCCAAACGTGCAAAAAGGCTTTTGGTTGCACCGAGTTCTTCAGAGGACGACGATCCCAACTCGAATCTTAGTCTGAATGCCGTTAATGGCACTCGATTGCCTCATGTCCAGCCGATCCCCAAAAGACGTCAGTTTGTCCACTTGAACAAGGAGGCCATGGATATATACCTGGCGGGAACCACAGGAGGATAGCGTTTTTTGTTATATTTTTCTATCCACTTAAATTTCCAAGAATCTCTTGACTTTTTTTATAAAAATGAAAATAATAAAAAATATTTAAAATTTTTTTAAATAAAACTGTTAACCCGCGCTGTTACGCTAACATGCCTATCGATAGTGCTATCGATATTAACAGCAGCAACAGCTGTCTGGCCATTATTGTTTGTTAGTTTTTCTGTGTTTGGTTTATAACTAAATTTCTTGTGTCTTCTTCTCTCTTATATAAACAAAATAATGCTGTGCTAAAAATTATAAATACTTAGCGTACGTTTGCACGCGAAAAGTGAGTGTCTGCTATGTTTTTACACTTGTATTTATTTCAAACTTAGTCTAAACAGTTTAAAGCTCAATTAAAAGTAATCAATTAGTAAGTATTAGCATGTTGTTGTTTCTCGGCGTCGTTGTTGTTGTTGCTGCTCGTACTGGTCATCGATGTCGATAAAGTTGGCATCCTGCGTGTTATCCTTGGGCAGCGCTGCCGGCGTCGCTGCCGCGGCATAGTAACCGAGGCCCACGCCCCCTGCCACGCCTCCGGTGGGCATGGTCGTGGTCGCTTGACCCATTATAGAGCTCATAAAACCATTGGCCACGACAAAGTTTCTGAAAAATTGATTACATCAAAATAGACAAAAAATTATTTCGAGCAGGAGGAGTACAACCCCTCTATAAGGACATCCTCTAATTGGGCCTGTGTGCGCATAAATGTCGTAAAATTAATTTCGTGTTAATTTTATGTTGGCCATCAATTAAACTCGTGAAATTTCCTTAAATTACTTCCGTTTCGAAAGGTGGGATGTAAATATCAAGTAAAATCCTCTTCACGAGTTATCCATCAAAAACGTTATTTAAAACCTTGTTATTTAATTTCAATTTAATCAAAATATATTAAGATATTCAATAATTTGAATTCATACTCTAAAAAATCTAATGTTTTTAGTAGGTCCATGGATTTATAAATAATCTAATTAAATTTATTTGAAATACACAGTGCAACATGAAAAATGGAACCGCAATTCTGATTTCATGGGCGGAAAGAACTCATCGAAATAAGCTAAAACCCATTTGGGTTTCTCTGGCTTAGCTCGGGTTTACCTTTTATAGCGAGTTAAAGTTTTACATACAAAATTTATTTGTAACGGCCATATCTTGTGAACCGATTAAAATTTCACTATCAAGTCTTCAGTGATTATGTAGCTATGAACCCAAGGAACTAAATTGACAAATGACTCTTGCGCACTTAGCACCTAGTGCAACTAGCGCGTTAAAAAACAAATTTGCCTAATTTTTCGATTTTTAACGCGCTAGGTGTACGTCTTCGCAAGAGCCATTTGTCAATTTAGTTCCTTGGGTTCATAGCTACATAATCACTGAAGACTTGATAGTGAAATTTTAATCGGTTCACAAGATATGGCCGTTACAAATAAATTTTGTATGTAAAACTTTAACTCACTATAATAGGTAAACGCGAGCTAAGTCAGAGAAACCCAAATGGGTTTTAGCTTATTTCGATGAGTTCTTTCCGCCCATGAAATCAGAATTGCGGTTACATTTTATAACCCTAAAAATGTTGCACAGTGATATTGGTTCAAGAAATTAAAGAAAAAGTTTAAGAGATTGAAAAATCTATATTTATTTAAAATTTAATTTCTAGGACTCCAATCTTTAGAACTCTTTAAAGACCCAATTTTGAAAATTATAATAAAACTAAAAAAATATATTATTTAGTGCAGAACAAGATGTTTTTAAGATTTAAACTCAAATGTCTGAAGTTCGTCTTTTAAGCATTATAAAAACCTACCGATAGTGCTGATCGATCTGGGCCTTCTCTATGCGCTTGTCCTTGGCCCTTCGATTCTGGAACCAAATCTTAATTTGCGTCTCGGTTAGGCGAAGTGTTTCGGCCAACTCGAATCGCCGGCTCCTGGAGATGTACTCGTTTCGGTGGAACTCCACCTCCAGGCGAAGGGTCTGCTCCGTACTGAAAGTGGTCCTCTGGCGGCGTTGTCTTCCCTCCTTGCGACGCCTTCGAGCCACTGAAATTGGGAGAACAATTTATAGTGGTATCCCAGATATCCAAAAATTATCTACAGGAATAATGAGCGTTTATAAATAGTTGCCCATTCAAAGAAGGATAATAACGCCATCCCTTAGATAGTATCATTTTTTCACAGCACACCAAACAACAATTCCCCCTTTATTCGTTTCAAATACAATAGAGATGTTAGAGCGAAATTAATCTTACATTAACAAACCATCAAGTTATGAGCGAGGCTAAACGATTCCGAATGTGGTTGCGTGTTGGGCAGTTAAACAAATAATTAACCACTCTGGTATCCGCGGTCCTTCGTCCTTTTTCCCGCCCTCCACCTGCCTGGGATTCGCGTGGGCTCGCGTTTGTGGTGCACATTAGAAGTGCATTTTCCACGTGCTTCCTGCTTCGAGTATCTCTTTTTTCATATTTTTTTATTATTTCGGCAATCTATGCTGATCCGGGAAAGTTTTAACAATGCCAACAGCTGGCTGGCCATCATTATCATCATCCTCCTCCTGCTCGTTGGAATTCCCAGCATCATCATCCTCTCATTCGAATTTTCCGTTCTGTCGTTTATTTGTCTGTTTGTTTGCATTCGCAATGTCGCCGACGATGAAGTCCAGCCAAGCGCACATTATGCCCCACTACCCCCTGGAAAACCACCCATTCGCACCCACTTGTCACCCACTTCCACCCACAAACACCCACTCCATTGTCCTTCCTGCGGTTTAGAGTCTAATTGATGTAACAAGGCGAAGCTGACAAGTTGTTCGGTGGTTTTGGTTGGGTGGGGGGTTGGTTTTTCCTGGCAAGGGGTTGCTTTCTCTAGTGGGCGTTGTAATCTCTAGTTTTTGCTTGATTACCCCTTGCCTGAATAACTCGGAACGTAGCTTAAAAGCCTCCTCCCTGATCCTGATCCTTTCCTTCCCCTTTTTTCTTCCTGGTGGTTTTTTAAATCACGTGTGAAATTCGATAGCCAAGTGTCCTTTGGTCTCCCTCTATCTGTGTCTCGTTTAACCCTCTTCGCTTTCTGTTTATGTTTGCTTTTTTAGGTTTCCTGTCAAGCTCAATTACAATGTTAAGTTTTTCAGGTGCTTATGATTTTTTTAGGATTTGCCAAAGTTTAGTTTGTAAGTTTTACAACTAAAGGTGGGGTACTTTTTGTTACTGGTAGGTATTTTGGGATTTTATAGTTTTAATTTAATTTTTTTTTTAATTTTAGTCTTGAATGTATTTACTTGTACAATTTTTGATTTTTTTAGGAATTTTAAGTAGATGGTTCAGGATTTTAGTCTGTGAAAAATCCATAAAATCATTTAAAAAGTGAAAAATGCATTGGCAGAAAATATTCTTTGTGTATTTATTCAGGCTTTATAAAACACATTGGGATAATCTAATCTTCATATATTACAGAGAATTCTTTTAAGAAATATATTTTGGGATAATATTAAATGTTTTTCTCTTTCCCAAACCTCTAATCTTCATATAATACAGAGAATTCCTTTAAGAAATACATTTATTTTGATTAACCACTTATCAATTGCTTCAGCAATTCACCCTTAACCTGCGATCATTTTCATTAGCCAACAAATTTCAATTTTTTCGTATCCTCACCTCACTTCCACACCTGGCAACCTCATCATCGGCCGCAAACGAAAGAGCCGCAAGTAAACGAAAACTTTCACGGCTCAATGCGTTTTAATTTTTTCTTGGCAATCAGTTTTTTCTTTTCCTTGGCTAATTTCTTAACATTTTGGGGGTCAGGCAGCTCATTGTGTGGCATTGCTTGGGTTTTATTATTTTTTCCCGACTGATTTTACATAATGCACTGATGGGGATATTCAATATAGCACTTGCACTTAATCAGCCTTTTTTCTGTATCCGATTTTTTGCAGTTCCTGCGGAACTAACTTCATCTGGGGCTGCACCTGCGCAGGCGTGTGAAATGTTCATCACTTCCTCTGGGCCTTTTCAGTCGTAACTTTCGAACTCTTTCGGGGATCGGGGATCGAAATGTTGGCTCCCCTGGGCTTCAGTTGTCCGCGATGTCTGCTCTTGAGACGCGGCGGCGAACGTTGGGCCTCCCTGGCCCGCCAATTGTCGGGCAGCAGTTCCCAGGATACGAGTGCCACCAACCAGGATGCCACAAAGGACACAGCTTCCAATGGCACGACGGGGACAACGCAGGAGACAACGGCCAAGGCCAAGGATAAAAACACCAAGGGACGAAAGAGACTCAGGAATATCGAGGTAATTTTAGATGATCTTACTATTATGACAATTCATAAGAATCGGAAAAAAGTTCTTACAGAATTTGTCTAAAAGGTTTTACTAATCTATTTTGTAAATATTAAACTCAACAAAACAGAACTAATCAAAGTTTGCTTTTTTGCGAAGAGCTTCTAAATAAATTCAATTATATCTTTAGCATTTTTAAATGCAAATAGTCTCTTTAAAATTGTTTGAACTAAAAATAAGAGATAATAAGTAAATTACTATAAATTTAATTTGAAAATGGACTAAACATCTAGTTAAAGTAGTACCCAGTTCTATATAGTTTACCATTTCGAAAATTACTACTCAAGTCTTACATATTATTCTATTTTATTTCCCAGATACCTCCCGAACCCACCACATGCTGTATGTCAGGTTGTGCGAACTGCGTTTGGCTGGACTACGCCCAGACTTTGGCCAAGCTGCTCGGCGACAACGATGAGGAGGCCCGTCAGATTGTCCTGAGCAAGATCACCGACCCCAACCTGAAGATGTTCCTCAGCCTGGAGCTTCGCCAAATGGCGCGGCAGCGGGAGGAGAAGGCAGCCGCGGAGAAGGCAGCTAAACAGAAGCAGGGGAAGCCAAAGACACCGCCCTCAGAGTAGTACAAATGTCTTCTGCTGCCCATTATCCAATTATCTAGTTAGGACCAAATTCGTAGTAGCTCAAATTTACTCTTGTACTTAGTGTGTAAGAACTGAAAAACCTCACAATAAATATGTAAAAGTTCTGAAATAAAAACAAAGTTGTAGTTTGATTTTGTACGCGTCACTTAAAAAAAAACACTAGTTATATTTTATTCGCCTTTTGGGAGATACAAAATATATATTAAGAAGATTGAAAATTCGTATGACATATTGATAGTAATATTATAAAAGCCAACTGTATTTGCCTTGGAAGTACCTACAATTTAAAACAAAGTAAAGCTAAAATTTATCTTTTGCCGATTCTCTATTCTCAACAACTACTAAAAATTCTATTCAATTTTAAACAGTAAAATTGAAAAATATAACAGTTCCTGTGAAAATTTGATTCCGATAGGTCCTAGGTTGCAAATGAAAATATATCGATAGACCAGTTTTTAGATGGATCATCTGTTTTCTAATTACTTTCCATAAACTGACTGTTTAAGTGTTCTAAAACCAAGGACAGAGGTAAATTAGTTAATTGAAATAAAACCCTCACAAATGAACTGTGTCACAAACTCATTTATTGCAAGATGGCCGAATCTCCGCATGAGGAACGCCGCATTTGCGGTCTGGGAAACCATGTGCTGAGGACCCCGTACCGAGTAATAAGGGATCGGCACTTGTTAATGATCGGGCGACTTCTGAACTGCGATATTAAGTCGCAACCAGTGTGCCTGTCTTGCTACAATAATCTACTCAGGTTCTGCATCTCCAAGAAGAACAATGCGAAGAAGGATAGTTCCTTTGGGTCCACGAAGGCCGAAGGAGCCTCTTCAGAGATCTCTGGAGAAGACGAAAGACCCACTAAACCCATGTGCGGTTTGGGAAACCATAAGCTGAATACCCAGTGCCGTGTCCTTGTAACCAATCCGAACTTGATAAAGTTCGGCCGACTCATGGGCTACAATCTCAGTTCGCAGCCAGCTTGCCTTTCCTGCTACAGGAATCTTGCGAAGCTCTACGACATGAAAAATAACAATGCAAAGAAACATCGTAAGGAGTGGAAACGGGCAGCGAGTATCTCCTCGGAGGACGAAGAAGCCACTTCCAGCTACCAGTCACCAAATAACTAAGATATATCATATCTCATTCTTGAAATAAATGCTTATTATGAAAAATGCTATTAATACTACACAGAGAGAATTTTTCTAGAACGGTGCACTTAAATTGAGAATTTTCTACTCAAAATAAAACCAAGTACTCACTTTAAGTACAAAATACTCACTTTCAGTACAAATTTTTTAAGTAAAATACCTTGGAATTGAGTCATTTTAGAGATTTTTTTCTCAAAAATCGGGGACAAATAAGAGATGGTGAAAGAAATAGGCTTCTTTTTTTTAAATTTGTCCATAAAGTTAACTTAAGTTGAAAAATGTTCTCTGTGTATATTTTGAATAAATACTATTATTTTTGTATCCCCCACTGAAATGTACTTACGAAATGCGGTAAACCCGGCGCTAAAATGCGGATCACTTGGAAAACCGGCTGGAAATCCATGTGGCAGGCCGGGATTCGCTGCTCCGCCGGGATTGACCAGCGGCGGAGGACTCACATAGCTGAGTTTCTGTTGATTATGAAGATTATGGTGCTGATGGGAATGCTGGGGATAATCCTTCGCCGGGCTGTAGAAATCGTAGGCGGGAAAGCTGGCGAGCGAGGCGCGTTCGTCGCTGATGGAAATGTCCGGCGAGGAAACGCTTCCGCCGTCGCTGTGATAGGGCGTCTCGCAGGGGGGCGGCGGCTGATGGGCGTGGTGGGTGTGGGTGCCGACATCGATGTCGTTTTCCCCATTTTCCGAACTGCGCGTTTCCAAATGCCCGTACAGCCGCTCGAAAAACTGACGCGGTGACGAAGGACGTTGCGGCACGGTTACTAAATTCGCGGTGGCTTGTGGTGACCCATCGGGTGACCCAATCTCCACTTTTTGCCGCTGCATTTTGTTCAAGGATTTTTGGATCTTTGGATTTACCGCGGAGCCTGGCCAAACTAATCACTTGGGTAATCGGCGAGCGACTGAAGTGTCGGTTTTAATATAGCTACTTCCGCTGGTCAAGCGACGCTTCGCTTATCCTTCTGTCGACGTCGGCAGCGAAACTTAAGGGGGCGAAAAAAAAACAAAGCAAATTACGCGGCACTTCAAAAAAATTAACAGCAGCAGCGGGGGCGCCTAAAATGCTTCTTAATAATAATAAAAAAAAGGATCCCCTCCTTTTGGCTCACCTGAAACTCACTTCTGATTGGCTGCAAATGCTGCGAAATTAACCCCTAATTTTACTTCCGGATGGAAAGTTAAGTAAAAGTCCGTTAAGGGTGGCAAGCAGGATAATTCAAATAAGCCCCGCCCTTAGCGGAGTTATACACCCAAGCAGTGTATTTAATAAGCCAAGCAGTGTGCTAGCAGAGTTATATACCCAAATAGTAAAGACACTGTTTCAGATCGCGGATCCTGTTAAGCAAGAACTCAAACCAACCACTTTTCAATTCCAAATAAATAATTGTTAATTTAAATTAAAATCACGAATTTTCTTTTAAATTGGTACCAAATAATTCATTGAGAAAAAGAGAAACCAAAAAGCGAGATGGTAAAAACTGTGTGACCGCATAGAAACTAAGATAACTGGACTTGTCCGATCTGGTCACCTTGCTACCTTTATAAACACAAGCAACTCTGAAATCTTCGGCATTTCAAATTCGAAATTGGAGGCGGAACGAGCGCTTGTCGGCTCCACATTTTATATAGCGCGCGCGAGAAGTCGAAACGAATCGATTCGAAATCGTGTGTGGATAATATCATAATGGATAATGTGCTCCTAAAGTTCCGATACAAAAACATGTGTTTTGGGCAAAAGAAATATCGATGACATACCGACAGTGATCAAAACAACAACAAAATCGAACGTTTACGGTTATGTTTTCAACTCCGATTCGCAAGTACCGTTAGTCCGCGCAGCTGTCGCAGCGTCCGAAAGTGCCAATAAAGAATAATAACAATAAACAAAGACCGCCAACAAGTTGCGTATAAAAAAGGTATAAATGAAGCATCATCCCTTCGATTTTAGCCAATTTCGATTTTGTTTGCTGAACAAAACAAACAACAACAGGCAGCGACAGGCCAACCAACAACAACAACAAAATTGCACCGACTTTTGTTTGTTATTCTCAGTCCGGATTTTAATTGAATGGCTTTTATTTAGCTGCGTTGCGAGTGTGTTTGTGTTTGTTTCTTGACGGCTTTCTGTTTGTGCAATGCAAAAATATTTTGTTAAAACTCGTTTCGTTTTTAAGCTTATTTGGCTTTGGCCCGCAAGTGTGTGATTTTCGAGTCGCAGTCTTTTTTCCATCCATCAATTTCGGTTTTTGTTACACTGACATATGCAAATTTTCCCCTGTTTTTCTGTGTTTTTTTTGGTAAATTTATTTCTTGAGCTCAATTTATAAATACCTTTTGGGTGGACAAGAAAAAAAAAAACAGAAATTCCACAAGTGAAGATTAGTAAAAAAAATTTTTAATTTAAAAACTTTTAAAGAAAGAAACTTTAACTCTACAGTTCAGTGCTTTTAAAAACTATGATCATCAAAAAATCTGTTGATTAAATACTGTGCAAAATAAATTATAATTTCTGGTTTCAAAACTAAGTAGTTCTAAATAAATAATGAAATATTTAAAAGAACTAAAATATTGATTTATATTTTTTTTTGTGTAATCCCCTTCGGCATTTCCTCCAAAACGATGTTTAATAATCCGAAACCCACATGTTATTTCATTCTGTTTTCCAACCGAAAAACAACGAGGAGAAAAAAAAACAATAACATCAGCCTTTTCATTTCCATTGACATTTATGAGCGGCGCTAAGGGTGCATGCTTCTCTCTCGGTCGCACACAGGAACTCCCTCCCTCTCGCCATCCCCCTCGCACATCCAGAGGCGTGGGCGGAGGCTTTCGAGGGGTTTATTGTGGGATTTCTTTTGATTCCCTAATTCCCACCGCGGGATTTCTGGTGGGCTCGTTTGCATTATATCCTTGCGCATGCGCAGCAGATTATGGGAAAATTGTTATGGAAATGAACGCGGATTTTTGTTTTTATTTTTGATTGATAGAAATGTCGCGTACTTACCAATTATCAAGCTAACAACAACGAATAACAGCTGTTGGCAATGTGTGCTGTCGCGTTTCCGTTATAAATGCGAGTGAGGAATAGTAATGAAAAGGCAGTAAACAGAATGGTGACGAATGCACATGTGTGTTAAGTCTATAACACTATAAATAGAAGTAAAGTGGTTGATTTAAGATAAGAAACCTTTAAGATCTTATGATCTTTCTATATTTATTTTTTTTATTTTGTTTATAAACAAATTGATTTCTTGTATACTTTTTTCTGTTTGGTAAAGACATTGTAAATTTAATACAATTTTGATATATTATTATCTAATATTTTAATCTTAACTTCCTTTAACTTTAATATTTCTTTTTATGCCTTATGACTTCCCCTTGAACTTGATAAAATTCCCTAGGGATTGGAACCCTTAACTCCCTAGTCACCAATGAAAATGCTATAAATACTTGTCGAGCAATTCTTAATCAGTTTTATAGCTTTTCCAGCTGCCCCTTTGGAACTCTTGAAAAACCAATTTGCATGCATATGTGAACTTCTGATTCGCAACGTACTAATCCCACTGTTTATGTCCCTTATCTTTGCAGTGCCAAAAACGTCTGACACACTTTAGTGACTTGGTGGACGGGACGAGATCGTTTCCACTAATTGGCGACACACATAATTTCCCTAACTGGCGGACAAAATAAAATAAAAAGTGTAACAAGCGCGAAAAGAGAGCTAACGTCAAGTGCCCCAGCTCAGAGAAGCTGGGTCGAGTAAAATGACAAATTCGAATTTTGAAAACGGGAATCGTTTGACCCCCATTTGACCACTTTTGCCCACCCTTTAGTTTTTTTTGACCACGTCCAGTTTCGAAAATATCGAATTTCGAAAATTTTCGAAAATCAAAAATTTGACTTTTTCAAATTTTTTTTTGTGGAATCGTTTGACCCCCATTTGACCACCATTGCCCACCTTTTAGAATTTTGAAAAAGTCAAAACTTTGGAAACTGTGGCCATTTTTCGTTTTTCTCAAAATTCGAAAATTTTAAAGTCGAATTTTTTAAAACTTTTTTTGTCCAATCGTTTGACCCCCGATTGACCATCATTGCCCACCCTTTAGAATTTTGAAAAAGTCAAAACTTTGGAAACTGTGGCCATTTTTCGTTTTTCTCAAAATTCGAAAATTTTAAAGTCGAATTTTTCAAAACTTTTTTTTGTCCATTCGTTTGACCCCCAATTGACCATCATTGCCCACCCTTTAGAATTTTGAAAAAGTCAAAACCTTAGAAAATACAACACTTTTTCGTTTTTCTCAAAATTCGAAAATTTTAAAGTCGAATTTTTCAAAACTTTTTTTTGTCCATTCGTTTGACCCCCGATTGACCATCATTGCCCACCTTTTAGAATTTTGAAAAAGTCAAAACCTTAGAAAATACAACACTTTTTCGTTTTTCTCAAAAGTCGAAAATTTTAAAGTCGAATTTTTCAAAACTTTTTTTTGTCCATTCGTTTGACCCCCAATTGACCATCATTGCCCACCCTTTAGAATTTTGAAAAAGTCAAAACCTTAGAAAATACAACACTTTTTCGTTTTTCTCAAAAGTCGAAAATTTTAAAGTCGAATTTTTCAAAACTTTTTTTTGTCCATTCGTTTGACCCCCAATTGACCATCATTGCCCACCCTTTAGAATTTTGAAAAAGTCAAAACCTTAGAAAATACAACACTTTTTCGTTTTTCTCAAAATTCGAAAATTTTAAAGTCGAATTTTTCAAAACTTTTTTTTGTCCATTCGTTTGACCCCCAATTGACCATCATTGCCCACCCTTTAGAATTTTGAAAAAGTCAAAAACAAAAGTCAAAAGAAAATACAACAATTTTACGTTTTCACTGAATTTCAAATACCTTTAAAGCTGAAATTTTCAAATTTTTTTGCATGGAATCGTTTGTCTACCGTTTGTCCACGATTGACATCCTTTTAGAATTTTAAAAACAAAATATAACTTTAAAAAATATTACACTTTTAATTTGTTTTTAAAATCGCATTGAACATCTCTTAAAATTAGTCAATTAGTTTGTCCAATAGCTTAAAGTAATTAGATTCGACATGGGTTATGCAAAACAGGTAATTCAGCAGTCAAATATCTGAATGGAAAATTATAGCAGGTAGTGAGTAAAATATTGAAAATATTTTGAAACCTGAATGGTTAGTCAATTTTTGGGGTTTGCAAACCTTGTTACCTGTGCGAAAGGGTTAACATTTTTTACGATACTTTTTAGGGGTTTTACGTAACAGGTATCTTCCGCAACCTGCTTCAATTTTAAACCTGAAACACTTGTCTCGATTTGAAAATCGCTTTCCTCCTCGAATCTCACATTAGGTATAAAAATCGACACCCAGAACGCACAATAAGTCTATCTTTGTGTGAAAAGTGAAGTGAAAAGTTGTGCGCGATATTTGAAAACGCTTGCAGTGTACCAGAACTATTGTGAATCGTGAATAAAAGCGAAGTGGCATTGTACGAAATTCTGCGTCTTTGTGTTTGTGCATCCTTGTTAATTTTGTTAAGAGTCTTTTTTAAGACTTGCAAAATTTTCAAGTTTGATTTGTGATTTAAATATTAATTTGTCTTGATACCAGAATTTCGTGCTGTGTCATAGGTGTTGGTGCATAAGTGTGATCAGTGTTGTGACTATTCCTTCGATTTGTTTTACAAGGAATTGAAGTGAAGTGACGTTGCACAAAATTCTACGATATTCTCTGTCATTGTGTTTTATTTTGCAAATCCTTTGAATTTAGTTTATTGTGTTTTAAAGATTTGCAATTTTTAAAATTTAATT